TGCCACCGCCACCGCCACCGCCACCACCAGCCCCTATGTCCGCTACCACCAGCCCTGCTGGGAGTATTTTTTGGGGCTGAGGACTTTTGTTCAAAAATTAGATAAGTCACCGGGACATATCTGCAGTTTCCTAGTTTTAGTATAATTGCACTTTAGTATGTGAGACAATTATGTAATTTATTAAAAGTTCAATACCTGCACAATAATGATTAAAAAATGCATGATATTGAGTAAGAATATGCACATAAAAAAGCCCGTCATATATATACGAAATCATAGAATTGCCACATCCTATACATTCAAAGTTCACAAATTTATCAAAATGTCACCGCGCTCAGGGTTGTTCATCTGTCAGTTCGGTTGAACTGACCGATCGAAATGTCAAAACCGATATCCAAACTGACATATAAAAAAAGAACTGAAAATTTTATATTTCTTGATTTCGGTTGATTTTTTTGGTTTTGGTTGAATATTACGCACCCCTAATTGTGATATAGAATGCACAATGACGACAAATAAAATACACATTAATGCTTATGATAAATGTACAATAACATAACAGTGTACTTTTGATTTTTCATGTGGGGTCATTTGCGTAGAATACAATGTTGATGTGCATTCTTGAAATCATTAATTAACTTCCATTTAGTTTAATACTATTGCGTATTATGCGTTACCTGTATTTGTAATATGCATAACACATATTGTGCATTTTTCTTACCATTAATATGCATTTAGTACTTTCTTTATAAATAACAAATTTGCACCATGAACTAAATTGAAATATAACTGAAATTCATTAAATTTGCAATTAGGCCATTAACATTATCTAATTTTAAAAAATAAATAAATAAATTATCATCTTCAAATTAGGTTTCCTCTGGGCCTCCAGCAGGGGCGGGTGTTAGGTTTGGCGGCGGGGGAGAATGTGAAGGTGAGAGAGGGGGCAGAGAGGATAAATAGGAGTTAGACGAGGCAGACTCGGCCCGTTGACCGTGCTTCGGCGGCAATGAGGCTACGAGAAAGGATTTTGGGGAGAAGAAGTGTTTGGCACTGGCGACAGTGGCCATATCGAGTTCTGGGAAAGAGGGCATAAGGGTCTCCAGCTGCGCGAGAGTGAGCTTATCTGGATTAGATGTGGTGGACGACGTTGCCACCGGCGAGAGGTGGAAGTGAGAGCTGGTAGTGACAAGAGGTGGAGGAGGATCTGGCGGATACTGGCGCTGTCGAAGGGAGCACGACAGAGGCCGCGTAAAGGGATGAAGGCGCGGCGGTGGTGAAAAAGAAAGCCTAGGCTGATTACAAAT